CCTGTTCTTCCTCCCACCTATCCCCTCCTCCCACCTCAAGCCGCACCTCCATCTCCTACCGACCAACCTCATCCCACCCCCTTGACCTGTCCGTCCTCCCTGGACTGACCTATCCCCTTCCTAACTCCCTACCTACACTCACCTTTACTGGCTCCATCCCCGCCTCTTCGACCTGTTTGTTTCCTCTCCACCTATCCTCTCCTCTATCCCTCTTTTATCTGCCTCCCACTCTCTCCCTATTTACTTCAGAACCCCCTTCCCCTCCCCCTTTTCTGATGAAGGGTCTAGGCCCAAAACGTCAGCCTCTCTGCTCCTATGATGCTGCTTGGCCTGCTGTGTTCATCCAGCCCTGCACCTTGTTGTCTCGGATTCTCCAGCATCTGCAGTTCCTACTATCGCAGATTAGGTGAATTGGCTATGCTAAATTTCCATAGTGTCCACAGATGTGGCTAGGTGGATTAGCCATGGAAAATGCAGTGTGTTACGATGGGGGTGGTGGATCTGGGTAGAACGCTGCTTGGAATGTTGTGAGCTCAATGGGCCAAATAGCATGCTTCCGCGCTAGAGATTCTGTGAACTGTCAAAAGAATTTGCCTGATAATGTGCCAATCAGTTCATAATGTGACAGGTAAATATGGGCAGATTTCTTGTCCTATTGCAGGCCTTGACTGTGCTAGCTTGGTTTGGCACAAGTTACTAGCCAATTGAAGACCAGAGATTTCTGGGCCCCAAAGACCATTCGTTGAAGCCTACTTTTCTTCCCACAGGGTAGGATTTGGGTTCAAGGCACTGTTGTAATAGACAACACCATGATCTGCTCACTTGTAAATAATTTACAGTACAGCTTCACATAATGAGTATTCAGAGCCAACTCAAGACCTAAACCGTCTCGGCATCAGTCAGTGCTTTTAGCAAAATAAAATGTGTAAAGCGTGAAAATGGGAGGAAACAAGAAAAATTCCTGTGATAATAAATAGCATAATATCTGAAAGAACTGAAATAAGTTACTGGTATGAGCTAGCCCTACTGAAGAATTTACTAATGTAGTTCACCTTAAAACCCTAGAAGCAAATACTTGAGTGTTGAGTGGACCATAATAACGGATAGTGTCTCAAAACATTATTTAATGTGGGTCCTAGCTGAGCAGAAGAGTAAAATATGTAGAGCATTTTGCAGGCAGCAGGTTGGTTTGAAAGAAATGAGGTCTGGAACCCAAAAAATAGACTTATCAACCCACTCAATGCTGACCTTCGAGACTTACTTCTCGGATCTTAGAGTACAAAACAGAATGCTTTAGACATAAAGAACTGAAGGTCTATACGGTCTTCCATTCCAGCCTCCATAAATGCAAGCAACAACTGCAGTTTTGGGTGGGAAAGGGAAAATGCCTCCGAAAAAATTCCATCAAAAAGAATTTGAATCAATGACAATTTTGTTTAGAAAATGCAATGGCTTACTGCCTTTTACTTATTGTTCTAATGTGAATCATTCATTTTTCTACTAATTCCCTTTCAAGAGCCAGACTTGTGACACACTTGGGTGACTCACACCACCTAGCGCTTAATGAATACCAATCCTAATCTTCATGAGCACAACTGTAGTCTGACAAATTTAGCTCAAGGGTTTAATGATTTCGAGATCTTTTTCCGAGTAAAGATTTAGTATATGAACAGAGTTGTTTTTTATTTCTAAACTAGCCTTATATTTTTTAATATCCTGGAAGTATGTATGATTGAGAGAGTTGGCTGATAGCATTCTATGCTTAGCAGCAGTATATTAAGTTTAGGCTAAGTTTTGAATTTATTCAGTTTCACAAAGGAAGTCAGAACTGCAGGCGTAACTTATTGCAGATGGATTAGGAATCTTTCACAGAAATGGAGCTCTGTACCCAAGATTTTCCAGGTGGTGACCTCCAGATTGCACACTTGTCACCATGAACAGGTACAGGTTAGGGGCAAAGCACTTCTGAACTATAAAAGGAATAAAAGGGGTGGCACGGTGGCTAGCACTGCTGCCTCACAGCACGAGGGACCTGGGTTCGATTCCACCTTTGAGCGACTATTTGTGTGGGGTTTGCACATTCTCCCCGTGTCTGCGTGGGTTTCTTCTGGGTGCTCCGGTTCCTCCCACAGTCCAAAGATGTGCAGGCGAGGTGGATTGGCCATGCTAAATTGCCCATAGTGGTCAGGGATGTGCATAATAGATGGGTTATAATGGGCTGGGTCTGGGTGGGATGCTTTGAGGTTCGCTGTGGACAAGTTGGGCCGAAGGGCCTGTTTCCACACTGTAGGGATTCTGACTCTATGACCTATGATAACTTCCCCAAAATTGCTCAATGCCAATGAATGATCTGGCACATTCCAAAAACATACAGACCAATTGTTGGTTTGCATTTATTTAGCTAATTTTAGCATTGTAGTTTCCCAAATTGGCTACAGTCTCACAGCATGAGGAGGAGTTAAGAAGAAAATAAGCCAATCCTTGTCCTTACTTCGGATAACTATCTTATGGCTCCTGTCACAAAACATCATTTGTGCAGGCTGGAATTATGCTTGCTTCTGATGCCACCTGTTGTTAAATAACCTACAGACTAACACTGAAAATAAAGCCATTTTCATGATAAAATGGGCATAATAATCAAGCAAGTCACTAGTCAGAATGTTACATGGAGACAATGGTTCTTTTCTTCCCCAGCCAAAATTTCAGGGGCGAGCCCACCACCATGGTCTGTGAAGTCCCAAATTGATTCCAAGATCATTGGCCATTAATTTGTGTATGGTAGACTCCACCTCATCTGGGAGAAGGTTCCTGCATTTGAAAGTTGCCTACCCAACGAAGCAGCCACCAGTTCTCCAGTTCCAGCAGCACCACTGCAAGCAATGGCCACTGCTGGAACTGCAGACCACTCCCAACAAAGTATATTGCTGGATAACAAGGTAAGGGGAGGTCTGCTGGGAATAGTCTAGCAGGCTCTAGTGAGGAAGTTAGGTACTGCTATTGGAGAAGCAGAGGATAAGGTGTACTCTGGGGGTGAGATTGCCTGAATAGGAGTGGGGTTCACTAGGTGCCTCACCACATGACACAGGCATCCTAGACCCTTAAATGGCCACATGGTGGGCCATTCAACATCTTCCCCAATATTCTATCAGAGGTGGGTTAGCAATAAACTTGTACCCCTTCATGCCACTCAACTGTAATTTCCCATCCACCCTACATAAACAACCTGCCCCTGGATGAACAGAGTGAGGAAGGGAGTACTGAGCTTCCAGCCAGTATCTTTGAGACATGGGGTGAACACTGAAAAGGAGAAAGAAGTACAGACGAGCAATGACAGGGGCTAGAATTCTCTTTACTAGCACAGGGCCGAGTGTCATTTATCTACCACAGTTTTGGTTCTTGCCATCAGGGTCCAGTTCTATCAGTTCAGAATACTGTCTGTCAAGAAGAAGCATTTTTAACTCATACCTTCTTGAGCTCTCTATGTACTTTAAAACTCGCAAAAGAATGGAGATCACCAGTTTTGTGATGCATTAGCAATAAAAGGAAACTAACATACAGATGGCAATGTTTAACATACAAACATTTACAAATTCTCTTCAATTATTCAAGTGACAGGCCTCGCACTATATACTCCAATATATCCAATATTAAAGTGCTGTATGTTGCTTGCCATAAGGAAAACATCCTTTTTCTGATGCTCTGTTCATGGAAAGTTCAGCTTCAGCAGTCAAATGTGATGCTCACGTAGGGCTGCTCCTTTTTACAGTCACTGTAGGCTTAGTCAAAGGGAAATTTCTCTCCTTTCTTTCTACCTGTACAGTTCTACATGTTTAAACATGTGAGACTCTTTCCAGTTTGCAGATTGTCTTTTTTTCAAGGTTAACTGAAGCTCCAAAAATATTTCTTTGCCTTACACTCTCAATTTTCCTGGAAGACCAACATCTCATGATAGGGTACAGTGCCATAGGCTTTCCATTGCACTTTGTGAAGTAATGTTCACATGAGCCCATTGCCATTTAACATTGATAGGATGTTCAACAAAGAGGGTTTTAGCAGATCCATTCCTATTTTTATCCAACGTCAGCACAGCTGAAACAGAGGCTAATTATGACTCCAGTTACTGCCATGCAGATGGAAGGTGAAACCTGGTGCTCTCTTGGTCTAATATAGCTGAGTATAAGTACTTGCTTTTATTTCCTTCTCTGGAATCAACATAGCTTCATAGTACTGCACTCTTCATTCTCTACTGTCCAATCAGCCAAACTAAACTTTCTCTGAAAATTATGCTGGATTAGTTTGGCTCAGTGTGAAGAACAAAGAATATATAGCAAATGCTCTAAGAATTAGAGACAGAGGTTATATAGAAAGCACATTAACAGATGGACTGTGACCTTCACATTCGTTATTGAAGAGATAGGAGCTGTTCAGTAACATGCATTATAAGACCAATCTTGCAATAGTACTGAAGCTATCACATGAGCAATTCACTCAGTATCATAACCTTAACGTGACTTCCAACTCCTAATGAACATCTCCATCATGCCTACATCTACATCAGGCTTGGTGCAGTGCAAAATATGTTCTTTGAAACAAGAAGAAATAAGATTAGGATCACAATATGATCAGATGAGTCTCCAGCAAATCTTCCTTCCAGACAAATAGATGCAAATATAAAATGTTTTATTTTACATTATATCTTAGGTGTCATAATCTTTGCTTTCTGATATAGGAAAAGTGAAATAAGCTGCATACATTACACAGAAAAATGGAGAGTCATACTAAATTTTGGTTCCTTTTAAAGTTCTTGCAGATATAAAACAACCATTTTAATGAAACTACAGTGGTCCCCCCTCTAACCCTCACGTGGCATCAAACGGTGTCTTATTCAATCTAAAAAATCTTTAATAAGATATTCTTTAAGGCTAGGTTGATTTAAAACATCTATCCCTGATTCTTGAAGTTGCTGGAGTCTGGCTTCTGACTGACGTTTGTCTTTAGCTATTTTCCAGGACACTCTGATGTTGGAATGAAGTAAAGGTACCAGTAGTGGATGATTCTCCTGGTTGTCTATTGTCTGTAAGGCCTGCTCACAGTAGGCCTGGGCCTCTTCCAAGCGATCCAGTTCTTGGTAACAAAGTGAAATAGAAGCTTGAGTGAAAAGTAAGTGCTCAGCGTCCCAGGACCCTAGCTTCTGTTGCAAGTGAAGAGCATTCAGCAGTGTCTCTATAGCATCCTCACACATACCACCCCGCAATAATCCCTGACTTGCTTTTAAATCATTCAGATAAAAGAACTCTAGGAATACTTTGGACCTGCAAATGTCTGCGATTGAGTGGATGTGCTGGAGATACTGTTCAAAAGCTCGGCTGCGTTTGGCTATGGTTTCGTGTGTGAAGTTTTTCCGGATGATCTTCTTTGGAAACACCACATTGCTCATCTCCTCCTTGAAATGTTTGTGGAGTTTCTCATTCAGTTTTGCAAAATCAGTGTAACGCCGAATAATCAATGCCTTGTGGTCATCGAAACTGCCTGATTTTATAACATGTATGGTATAGGCCTGTGGGGAAAGGGAGAAGATCGGTTAACTACCTTCCTTATAGGCATTTGTTGCAATTTTTAACAATGAATAATGGAAAGTTATAATATGTATAAACTATATTTGCAATGACTCCAGTCCAAAACACATGGGCATTTTGATCACTCATCATTGCTCCTGGTGACACTTTTTCTTCTAATTCTGAAAGGCTGTAGTTTTATTTCACATTTGAGTGACATTAACACAACATTTACACTGACACTACAGAGCAGTGCTGAGTGTCACATCTGCAGTTTTGTTGATGAGACAGTATGGAGGACAGCTTCAACCATGATCTTGGGTTCATGTCACGCTACATGTAACCCCACCATTCTGTTCTGTATCTGTAAAATCTTCTTTACTATCCTGCTTCAACACCGTCACCTCGATTACTTGTTATGATCTCTCTACCTTAATTAGTTTGCACAGTTTTGGATTACTTGTTACTTTGGTTAGACCCTCGGCATGCGACCCTTACACCGATCATGTTTTTCCATGTATTTAGTTTGTCTGCAACACCTTATTTTTAATTTTTTCTAATTATCTTTCTGCTTGAATTAATCAGATTATAATTCATCCCCTTCATTTACTATTCAGCCGTTGACACTTTACTCACACCATCTGACACTTCTGACCACCTGTAGAGACTTACTGTTCAGTTTATCGACACTCCACTCTCACCATTTGTGTGATCTTTTGATCTCTCTGCCCGATGATCTCTCTGCCTATAAATTCTGTGTCTGTATACTTTTCTTCACATCACCTGATGAAGGGGGCAGTGCTTCAAAAGCCTGTGATTTCAAGTAAACACGTTGGCCTATAACCAGGTGTCGTATGATCTCTGACCTTGTCCAGTCCAGGCTAACACTGGCACCACCATATCATATTTGACTATAAAGCACCTTCACGTCATGAAGCCTTGAATGGCACTTAGGAAACATAGGTCTTTGTTTCTTCAATTGGTTTCAAGTATTTAATACCCAGCAAGTGTAACCAGGTTCTTATGGTACATTGGGCCTCATACATTTAGCCTTTGGGTTATCATTGATTCCAAACTCAGTTACTATATTGCTCCATGGAAGAACAGTTTATGGCATTTTTCATGCCAAATGTCCAATTTCAGACAAAACGTAAAAATTATTGTTGCATTTGTTGTCAGCAGAGAGTATCAGTTTACTACAAACAGGCAATCATTTGATGATAAATTCAAAAAGGGTGAGAAAACAGTCAGCCACAGAGACATTAGTTTTACTTCAATCCTATATGAAATTGATGGTTAGAAATGACCAGAAAATCTAGTGAACAGAAGAAAACATTCTTCTTGACCAAGTTCAGATTTAATTGAGGCAAGTGACAACCTAAGTCAACTATAATAAATTCTACAACATTGTGGGCTTCCAAAAGACTTCACTGAAACAGGTTTCTACTTCAGCTTAAAGACAAATGGCTGGAAAATGGAAAATACTGAGGTAATAGAAGAATCATATCAAATGGAGGATGCTGGTAGGGACAATACTAATTGAGGTGCCCCAAGAATTCATGTTGGAATTACCAGCACTTGTAAGCTACATCAGTGACCTGAATTTGAAACTTGGGGCTGAATTTTAGCAGCTGAACTGTGATCCCAACATCAGGGTGAAAATTCAATCACACTTGCCAACAGCAGAACCACTCAGCAATTTTGCCCCAAGCACCCTCCTAATTGGCTGCCCCATCGTGGGCAGACAGCTCTAAATCTTCAACAGTGCCAATAGGTGAGGTCATTGTCAGTGAGGAATGCAGGAAACATTGGGTTTACATTCAGGAAAGCCAAAATTTCTTTTACACGCGTACACAGCCATAAGCGTAAAGGAAAATCCCTCCAGGGATACCAAAGGTGGCCACAGGAACTGAACTCCCTGCTCATGGTATTGGCTCAAACTACTGCTGGAAGTGCACCTCCCCCTAACTGGAATTTGCCCCATCGATACATGAATGACCATGAATTAAAGAAATCAGCTAGTGCTTCCTCCAGGTTGGACCCATCTCAAGGTGTTTCCATGAAGTGCTGTCCCAATATGGCTAAGCACTTAAGAAACACTGTAATGTTTGAACTTTCAATTTTATGTCTGTGTTTTCTATTTAAGACAAAGAAGGTCTGCAATATGTATCCTTTAACTTTATTACGTATGATTTGTGCTTTACTATAATTACTGCAATGTTTAATTTTTAAACTTTTTTCCTACCTTGTTCTTACCATTCTGTAATTAGGTACTTGTACCTAAGATGGTGCCTTGTGTGGCGACATAATACACTTTTCACTGTACTCCTGTACTTGAGTACATGTGACAATAAAATCAAATCAAATATCAGTGAGCCGATCTGACCTGGCTCCCTTCACTGGAGGGGATCCCCAATGAGGATTAATCCAATTTGCAGATGATGCCAACCTAAGAGGGACATTGCAATAGCAGGATATAATTAGTCAAAGTATAAACAAAACGCTGAAAGGAAAACTGTTGCGAAATGGGGAACGTGTTCGAATAGCCAAGGATCAGATTGAAAATAGACTTCGGAATCTTAGTGGGCTCAACACTCAACCTCTGTAGAGTGGTAATTAACAAAGGCAATATAATCCTAAACTGCACAGTCAAAAATATGAAAATCATGAGAAATTTTAATTGGAATGTACAGCTGGAGCACAGAGATTATTATCCTGAATTTTACTAAAGAGGACGTTCAACAACTGAATACAGTGCAGGAAAAAGCCACATGGACAGCTTATTAGCATAGCTACGGACACAATGTATTGCAGCCTGTTCCTCTGTGAATTAAAAACCCATCGTAAGGTAAATTTTAAACTTAAAAGTTACACATTGGGAACATTTAAAGATTGGTGAGAAATTGCAAAGCAGAGTTCAGAATGTGCAATATCCTAACAGTATGAATATAGTTTGCACTTCTAGGAATTATCAAAGTAGGAATGTCTTTTACAGTGAAACAGAAAACAGGAGGAGTAGGCCATTCAACCTTCGATCCTGCTCCACCATTTAATATAATTGCAGTTGATCATCTAACCCAGTAGCCTGTTCTCGCTTTCTTCCCATACTCTGACCCTCTTAGCCCTAATAACTGTATTTAACGCCTTCTTGAAAACATTCAATATTTTGGCATCAACCACTTTGTGGCAGACAATTCCACAGCCTCACCACTCTCTGGATTATGAAAGGTCTCCTCATCTCGATCCAAAATGGCCTCCTTAGACTATGACTCCCTGGTAATCAGGAATACCCTTTCTGCATTTACCATGTTTAGTCCTGTTAGAATTTAATAGTTTCAATGAGATCTTGCTCATTTTTCTAAACTTCAGTGAATATAGTCCTAAACAATTCATTTTCTCTTTCTACGTCAGTCGTGCTATCCCAGGATCCGTCTGGTAAACTTTCATTGCACTCCCTCCAAAACAAGAACAGTCTTCTTCAGATAAGGAGGCAAAAACTGTACAATTGCTGCAAATATCCCTGCTCCTGTACTTGAATCCTTTATGAAGGCAAATATACCATGTGCCTTCATCACCACCTGCTGCGTTGCACGCCGACTTTCAGGAACATTCAAGTCTTGTGGCGTTTCCCCCTTTTCCCGTCTATCACTGTTCAGTTCAGAATCTGCCTTCCTGTTATTGCTACCAAAATGAATAACCTCTCAATTATTCACATGATACTTCACCTGCATTTGTCCAGTCAGTCATTTTTTCCAAATTACATTGAAGCATCTCTGCATGCTCCTCACAATTTACCCTCCCACCCAACATTACATCACCTGCAAACATGGAGATATAATGTTTAGTTCCCTCATCAAAATTATTAATATATATTGTGAATAGCTGGGGTCCAAGCACTGAGCCCTGTGTGGTACCAGCAGTCATAGAATCTTACATTGCAGAAAGATGCCTTTTGGCCCATTGAGCCCATAGCAACCCTCCGAAGAGCATCCAAATTCAACCCCCTCCACACTAACCCCTTAACCCCACAATTACCATGGCTAATCCACTTAACTTACACACTCCTAGCCACGATAGGACAATTTAGCATGGTGAATCCACCCTAACCTGCACATCTTTGGACGGAGACAGAACTGGAGCACCCGAAGGAAACCCAGACAGACACGGTGAGCACATGCAAACTCCAAAGGCTGAAACTGATTCCTGGTCCCTGGCACCATAACGCAGCAGTGCTAACCACTGAGCCATTGTGCCA